AAAAAAAATGGTAGATAGTGATAATAACAACTCATCCTTAATAAGTGAATGTGATAATAAAGGTTACAATAACGATAACAAAAATCGTGATAATGAGGATAACCCACACGAAAACGGTAAAGGTAAAAAACACAATTATGTTAAAGTATTAGTAGATGATCCTTTTAATAATAGGGATATTGTACTTGAAGTATCTAAAAAACAAAAAGGTGTCTACATATGAGAAACTTTAGACGGTAAACATATGTATGTGGGACATTCCATTAATCTTTATAATAGAATAAGTTCTTATTTTATGCAATCTATACTTAAGACTAAAGCAAGAAGAGTTTTACGTTATTTAAATAAACATGGTTTTAGTAATATTAAGTTAACTATTTATATTATGAAGGATAATTCTAGTTTAGAACAGGTAGTGGAATTGGAACAACACTTTATTGATAGTTTAAAACCAAATCTTAATGTAGATCTAGTTGCTAGTGGTTCTGGACATCATGAACCAATGAGTCAAGAAATGCGTGAAAAGCTTCGTAAACAAAGAGGTACTCCAGTATATATGTATAATGTGGAAGATCTTGCTTTGCTATATGCATTTGACTCAAAACAACAAGTATATGATTTGATCAATATGCATCACAATACTTTAAATGATTGTTTAAACTTAGGTAATATATATCTAGATACTTTCTTTTTCTCTTTAGATTTAATAGAAGAAGCTCCTGAAACGAATCTTTTACATTTAGATCAAATTAAAAGTTTAGTTTCAGATAAACGAGATGTTTATATCGTTAAACACCCTGCAGCTAAATCTATATTAGCAGAGTTTAAGGATGAACCTAAGAAAAATTTAGAATTTAACTCTTTAAATAGTTTAGCTAAACATTTAAAAGGTGACCGTCAAGTTATTAGACAATACTTAAAAGGTGAGAAATCAGGTTATTATCGAGGTAAATGAAAATTTACTTATAAATTTTAATATATAATGGCATGGCCGGGTAAGATGGAAACGTCTTACTTTACATTCACTGTTTGCTGGGATCCCTTTAGAGACTTTGGAACTAGTTATGCAGACTTTATTTTATATAAAAGCGGCATGAAACAGTTACATTTCAAAGTATTAGGCAATCAGCCAGAAACCAAACATAATTGGGCTCATTGTAGCATTAAACGCTTTTATGGAGTAGGATCTTCAGAGACTACACGTGAATACCTTAGTAAATATTTATTATTTAAAGGTAAAGATATAGTCCGCGCATTGATGAAAATTAGTGATAAAGCGTATGCCAGCTTTAATCGGTGGATTCGGTAACTTCTTACTTCCATTAGGATTAGGAGGACCTGATATGGGATTCCCTAGACTTAATAATATAAGTTACTTATTATTAATACCTAGTATTGTTCTTTTCTTATTTGCAGGTGGAATAGAAAATGGAGTAGGTACGAAACCTGTGCCTAAATAGTAAACAACTACTATGTAGTATGCCACTATATGCTGGAAGACCCTAAAGGTTTATATTTTATTAAAGACTAAAACCATAACTTAGTTAAATAAGTAAAATATTTAAATATGATACAATGGGCAATCAGCAGGAAAACAGAACATAGATTTTGTATTATCCTCAGAGACTATACGTGGTACACTCCTTTTAATAAGGGTGAAGATATAGTCCATTCACTATATGAAAATATGTGTAACATGTATTTTTTTTATTAGATAGGTGAAATCTATAAAATACAAATATCTTCCTTAGTACCCCTTTCTTTCTTGCCTAATAACTCAACTAGCCCTCGCGGGCTTGTCCCGCAGCAGGGCAAGGCCCCGCAGGGGACTAGTAAAAAACTAGGTGGTTATTTAGCAGGATTAATAGAAGGGGATGGTTCTATAATTGTCCCTGTTTGGTCCCCCCCCTTTTACCTACTTTTTTTTGATATATCAAGATATATCAAAAAAAAGTTGGGGGGGAACCTAAGACAATTAGAAATCAATACAAAAGATTTTAACGAATCACCTTTACTATTTGTATACTATACATAAGTATATGTGTATAATTAGATAGGATTTAATAGGAAGATTTTGTTGATTTTACCTTATAACTCCCCCTACTAGTCCCGGGAGTTAATACATCATTGTATGCTATAAATAATACATATGAATTTTGACAGGATTCAATTTTTTTAACTCGATTATTGTTATTACTTCTGTTGTTAGCTATGCTAATGCTGATACTCAAAAAGAATCAGTTCTTGAGGATAATAAAGGTAAGGCCGGTATTTATTGTTGAACTAATAAAATAAATGGTAAAAAGTATGTAGGTTCTAGTGTAGATTTATATAGAAGATTTATGCAATATTATAATATAAAGTATTTAACCAGAGCTAGTGAATTTAGTTTAATTTGTAAAGCTTTACTTAAACATGGTTATTCTAATTTCCAGTTAGAAATTCTAGAGTATTGTGATCCTTCTGAGGTAATTTTAAGAGAGCAATATTATATAGATCTTTTAAATCCGGAATATAATATATTGAAAGTAGCTGGATCTAGTTTTGGATATAAACATACTATAGAGTCATTAAAAAAAATGTCAGATATAGCTAAAAATAGATCAGAAGAAACTAAAGCTAAATGGAGAGAAGCTGCTTTAGGTAGAATCCATAGTGAAGAAACAAAAGCTAAACTAAGGGAAATAGCTTTAAATAGATTAAAACATCCTGTAGAAGGGAAAAAAATAGTAGTTAAAGATACTCAAACAGGTGAAATTTTTAACTATGATTCTATACGTTCTACTGCAAAATATTTTGGAACTAGTATAGCTCCTATTAGATACAATCTAGATACTGGAAAGCTTTATAAAGGTAGATATCTTATTTCTAGTAAAAATCAACAATAGACTTATGTAACTTTAATTATTAGTTCTTACTTTATACAACAGTTTTATTAAATTTTATGTGTTGCCAACTTCGTAGGCAACAAATAGTTCTATATTTTTTGTTAAGATTAGCTGGGTTTATTGAAGCGGATGGTCATTTTTATTGTGGTTTTGATTTAAATTCCCAGTGTATAGCAAATACAGTTAAATGTTACATGGCTATATCTCAAAAAAATTTATACAAAGCTAATTCTGATTTATCTCAAAAAGATAATTCCAATCTATATATTATGGAAAAAATACGAGAGTTTCTTGATGTTAAGAACGTTAATCAGATTAAAAGAATTAAAAGTGATTATATTGAATTAGCATATTCGGTAAGAACAACTAAAAAAAGTTCTTGCCAGATTTTAATAAATTATTTAAATGCTTATCCGTTATTTAGCTCTAAACATCAAGATTTCTTAGATTGATGTAAAGCACATCATATAAGAATTCATAAAAAGTATAAAACTCTAGAAGGATCCTCAGAATTAATATTCCTAAAAAACAGCATGAATACTAAAAGAACTCAATTCAATTGAGATTCATTAAACAGTTTTTACAGTTTAATGTAATCAGGGTTAACAATAACGAGATAATAAAAACAGAGTTCTGACAGGGTGAACTCTTTACCCACCTTTATCAGGAATACAAAGTCATAGTGGTCCAAGTGTGGATTTAGCTATCTTTGGATTACATCTTTCTGGTATCAGCTCCCTTTTAGGAGCTATGAATTTGGGTCTTACCCTATACATTGCTAAATTTAAACACCTTATAAATATGACTAGAATAAAAGTTATAAGTTATGGTGTGATGTTTAAAAAATACTATTCTACTCTCATTCTATCTAGTTCTAGTGACAAATCAACAAAATTTAACCCAAAAAACCAAAAATTGAACCCTAATTTTTTAACAGGATTTATTGATGCAGAGGGTTCATTTATAGTAGTTATTCGTAAAGAACCTCGTAATAAAACAGGTTGAAGGGTAGATGCGAGATTAGCTATCGGTCTTCATAAAAAAGATGTCGCATTGTTGGAATTAATTAAAAATTCTTTAGGAGGAGTAGGAGATATTGCACCTCAAGGTAAGGACTGTTTACAATATAGAGTAAGTTCTATTAAAGATATAATGGATGTGGTAATACCACATTTCGAGATGTATCCTTTAGTGTCTCAAAAAAAAGCGGACTTTGAGCTATTTAAAAGTATTGTAAAACTAGTTAATGATAAAAAGCATCTTACTTATGAGGGAATCTTAGATATTGTATCCTACAAGGCTTCTTTGAATTTAGGTTTATCCAGTCAATTAAAATCCGCCTTTCCTGAAGTTATCCCTAGACCAAGACCTGTTGTGCAAGGGCAAACAATTAAAGATCCTCATTGATTAGCTGGTTTTGCATCTGGAGAAGCATGCTTTTTCATTCGTATTGCTAAATCTTCTTCTACTAAAACAGGATCTCAAGTACTATTGAAATTTCTAATACCCCAGCACAGTCGAGATACCTACTTATTAAAAAGTTTAATTAGCTATCTAGGTTGTGGTAACTACCGCCTTCGTCTTAAAGAAGATAAAGGTGAATTTGTTGTGGAGGATTTAAAGAATATCACTAGTATTATTATCCCATTTTTTAAAAAGTACCCTATTATGGGTATTAAGTCTGAAGATTTTTTAGACTTCTGCAAGGCTTCTGAACTTATGTTAAATAAAGAACATCTTAATAATGAAGGACTTGAAAAACTTAGTATGATTAAGAGTTCAATGAATAAAAAGCGTGTTGATACGAGTAAAGATTAATGTTGAAAATAAATTTGCACCTTTGGACACTTATAGAAGCAATAAATACCTATATATGTATAATAGGGATAAGTCTATTTTGTATTTTTATACAAAGAAAATTAGTGATTTTTTTCATGTTGGAATACATTATATTACTTTAAAAAAACATTTGAAAAAGGGTACGTACTATTTGGGTAAATACAAGTTTAGCAAGGAGTTTGTGCCTTCAGCTAAGTATAAAAAAATTTCTCTCTTAGAACTAGATTTGAAATTAAAGAGAGATAGAGAAGAGAAATTTACACGAAAAGGCTAATTTTTGTTTTGTGTAATTACTTTATCAATTTTACTCGTCGAATTTAGTATTCAATGTATTTCTTACATATTTAAGATATTTAACAAACTTTCAAGTAACATTAGTTAAACACATTGATTTAGGTAAAGCATATAAAGGATATTTATGTGAATATGTGAAAGAAAATACGTTGTAATGGGATTCATATAAAATTTTTAACTGTATGCTGGAATAGCTCAGTGTTTATAAGTACTTAATAGTAAAAATCTTGTAAGCTATGCTTAATCAGCAGGAAACAAAAGTAATTTTGATTATCATTAGGTTCCTCAGAGACTACACGTTAAAGACCGTATATTAATACGCTTAAAATATAGTCCACAAATAGTTATTATTTTAACTATTTTTAGTCATGACAACTACATTTAACATGAGAAGTCCTGGTATAAGATTGCATAAAAGATTAATTTGTGCTTAAAGAACCAAACTCCGGGAAAGCCCTAAAGCTCTAATAACCAAGGATGTTTAGGAAACTTTCTATCTGGCCCCATTAATGCCTGGGGGTATGGTAACATCGTTAGAGATGATCGAAAGAGAAATGGGTAATCGCGGATCTAAATCAGATATAAAATATCTGTAAAAGAGCAACGAGTAGACGGTTCTTCGGTATGATTTTCAATACTGTAAGGTATACTCTAGTCGCCGGGAAACCGGTTCTGGGGCGAAATCATCTACATACTTTTTTTTCAGGTATTAATAAATATACTTACTATTAAGTAAAAACTCTTGAGATTTAATTTGTGTAGATATAATACTTCCGGATTTATATAACTTTAAAAAAGTTTTTTATTAAAGTTATTTAGATGAATAATGAAATATACTACTAGTTCTAATGGTTTAAATCCAAATTTTGTAACTGGTTTTTGTGACGGAGAGTCTTGCTTTTCTCTGACCATTAGTAAAAATCCTAAGCATACTTTAGGTTGAAGTGTTAAATTAGTTTTTTCTATTCATTTACATTCTAAGGAAATAGATATTTTATATTTAATTCAACGTTTCTTTGGTGTAGGTAATGTAACGCTAAATAAAGATTCAGCTACATACCAAGTTATAAAACTAAGTGACTTAGCTTGTGTAATAGAACATTTTAACAACTATCCGCTAAAGACTCAAAAGTATGCGGATTTTTTATTATTTAAACAAGCATTTGAGATTGTAAAGAGTAAAGAGCATCTTACTGAGGATGGTCTCAAAAAGCTTATTAGTGTTAGAGCTTCCCTTAATAAAGGTCTACCTGAAAGATTAAAGGTAGCTTTCCCTTATATTACTCCTGTGCCCAGACCTACTACACCCAAAACTACTTTGGAGTGAAATAAACCAGAACTTAAACACTGAATGGCTGGATTTGTCACAGGTGAAGGATGTTTTTATATCAAAACAAGCAAGTCTAAGACACATAAATTAGGTATAAACGTTGGTTTACAATTCATTATAGTTCAAAATATACGTGATGCCTATTTAATTGAAAGCTTTGTACAATTTTTTGGTGGTGGTTCTTTCTCTGTTGCAGAAAAGTCTAGCATGGCTAGATTTACTGTGTCAAACTTTTCTGAGATTGTAGATAATATTATACCTCTATTTGAGGAATACCCCATACAAGGTGCAAAAGCTAAAGATTTTGAGGACTTTAAACAAGCATCTGCCCTTATTAAATCTAAAGCTCATCTAAATAAAGAGGGTTTAGATAAAATTCAGTTAATTAGATCAAGAATGAATTTTAAAAGGGAATTGCAGTAAGTAGTATAGAATTTTTATATATAAAGGATTATATCTGAACTCTTTTAGAGAGCAAAAAGATAGACAACCCTTTTTATGTATTCACGAGGGGTTAAGAATAGCTCCAGATTAAAGTTACCACATTTATATAAATAGCTTGTCTGATAGACTTGGTATTCTCTTTAGAATACAGGTCTTTTTGGATAAATGTTCATTGTTTGTGGATCGAAATTAATCTTATTTGCTTGAGCAGTTGTTATTACAGCTGTTTTATTATTATTATCATTACCGGTCTTAGCCGGTAAACTTATTCTGCCGGCTCTAAATTTGGCTGTATTCTGGGAACCGTTATATATCAATATATCGCAATCAGTAGGTAATCTATTAAGTTTGAACTTTTTAGAGAACCTCAGAGGCCACACGCCAAAATATTTTGGTTGTAGTTTAGAAACTTTAACCTTTCCTTTATGTGCAACTTTTAGATCAATCCATACCGGCAACCACAATAAAAATTTAAACAAATCTCTTTTTAGTTATTATTTTACTGGGCTTATTGAAGGTGATGGTACAATAATTACACCAAAAACTTTGAGATCCCCTAAGGGTAAATTAAATTATCCTTCTATACAAATAGTTTTTCATTTAAAAGACTTACCTTTAGCTTTACTAATTCAAAAAGAATTGGGTGTAGGTTCGTTATCTAGAAAAAAAGGGGTAGACGCTTATATCTTAACCATAAATAGCTATGATGGTATATTATTCGTTATTTCATTAATTAATGGAAACATGAGAACACCTAAAATACACAGTCTTAATGCTTTAATAGATTTTTTAAATGAAAATAAAGGAGTTAGTATTGAAAAATACTCTATATCTAAAGAGCCATTAGATTCAAATCCATGGTTGTCAGGGTTTATAGAAGCAGATGCTTCTTTTCAATTAAGAACAACTCTTTCAGGTAAATATCCTAAACTTGAATGTAAATTAGAAATATCTCAAAGACGATTAGATCATAAAGGATTTGATAATCTAGAATTTTTAACTTATATTGCTGAGTTTTTAGATACCGAAGTAAAAAAAATAAGATCGGATAAACCAAACCCTGAGTATAGAGTTAGAACTACTAATCTTAAAGGTAATATTCATGCTAAAAATTACCTTTTAAAATACCCTTTGTTTGGAACTAAACATTTAGATTCCTTAGATTGAATGGAAGTAGTAAACATATTTGATAGAAAAGAGCACAATACAATACAAGGAAAGGAAAGAATAGTAAAAATAAAATCAGGTATGAATAATTACAGAAAAATTTTTACCTGAGATCATTTACAAAAATTCTACAACGTAAAAATATAAGATATGGTCCGATCAGGCATGAGAGTGTCTGCGTATCTGCACTAAGTTTAATAACTTTTTAAGCTAAAGAATAACTCTTTAAGCTATGGGATTTTATCCAGCAGATCAACAAAAATAATGGGAATTACTATGGTTCTTACTGATAGAAACTTTAACACTTCATTCTTTGAAGTAGCAGGAGGTGGTGATCCTATATTATACCAACATCTATTCTGATTCTTCGGACATCCTGAGGTTACGAATGTAGGCCTCTTAACGTCGCTGTATGCTGGGACCCCTTCGCTATATAGTTCTAAATACTCCTCCTTATATGGCACAGTAAAAAAGTTAGAACAATGAAGGAAATCAGCCGGTAACATTTTATATATGAAAAATGGAACCTCAGAGGCTCTACGCGACGGAGTTGTAGTAAATTTAGAAAATGTTAAACGTGTATCAGATCACGTTCCTAAACATTTGAAGCCTCTAAATAATGAACAATTAGGTTATTATCTAGCAGGATTAATAGACGGGGATGGTCATTTTAGTAAAGCTCAACAATTAGTTATAACTTTTAGTTCTCCAGATGCATTTCTAGCCTATTACTTGAAAGGAAGATTAGGTTACGGTAATGTAAGAAAAGTAAAGGACAAAAACGCATACCTTTTAATTGTATCTAATGAAAAGGGTATGTTAAATATAATTAACTTGATAAATGGTAAATTAAGAACAGAACACAGATTTAACCAAGTAGTTAATAATGTATTAAGTCATACTAAGTATGCAGATCAAAATATTCATTTTACTATAGATTCAAGTAAAAATTTTGATAACCACTGATTAGCAGGTTTTTCTGATGCGGATGCTAGTTTTCAAATAAAAATTATTAAACGTATTACCAGAAATAAACCGGAAATAAGATTAAATTTTCAAATAGATCAAAAAAGTGTTTTATTGTTAAATATAATAAAAGAATACTTAGGTGGAAACATTGGATATAGGAAGTCTCAAGATACCTATTATTACGGTTCTACTAGTTTCGGTTCTGCTAAAAGGGTTATAGAATATTTTGATCGATATCACTTACAATCTAGAAAGCATATAAGCTATTTAAGATGAAGAAAGGTATATAGATTAATACAAGACAAACAACACTTAACAGATAAAGGGCTATCCAAAATACTAATCATTAAATCTTTAATAAACCGTCATGAAGAAAATACTACAACTTAAGATAAAGTCCTAACAAGAATATAAAAGTTTTTGAGTATTAATGAGAAAAGACTGTTATAATACACAGCTATTCCTTTAATCAAAATATTGTTACATTTTAATTATACCAGGTTTTGGTATAATAAGTACTACAATTTCTGCCAACTCTAACAAAAGCGTGTTCGGATACCTTGGTATGGTTTACGCTATGTGTTCTATTGGTATCTTAGGATTTGTAGTTTGAAGTCAATGGCTGGCTTTCCTTATAGGTGACTATAAGGTAATAAATTTCGCTATATGATTCTGGAACAGCTTAGTGCCTATAAGTACTTTTAATAGTGAAAATCTTATAGGCTATGCTCAATCAGCAGGTAATTTTAGTTTTGTGTCATCTTCTTTTTTAGTAGCGAAGGATACAAAAACGGACAAAAGCTCCTCAGAGACTACACGCGAAACATCTTTTAATTTTGATGAATATAGAAAAATATCAGATAAAAATTCTGATCAAGTATCTGACAATTGGTTAACTTGGTTTATTGGGTTTTCTGAAGGTGATGGTGCTTTTCTTACAGGAAAAGACAAACGTCTTGTATTTGTACTAACTCAAAAAGAAACTGCTATACTAAATCATGTGCATGAAACATTAGGTATTGGTAGGGTTAGAACATACGGTAATTTTAGTCGTTATCGTGTTGATGATAAAAAAGGTATACTTGTTCTAATTGCTTTATTTAATGGTAACTTGGTTTTAGATAAAAGAAAAGTCCAAGTAAAAAGATGATTAGATACTGTTAATATAGAAGAAAAAAATAACAATGTTCTTCCCATACTAAATAATAGTTGACTGTCAGGATTTATAGATGCAGAAGGTTGTTTTAATGTTACACTTTTTAAAAGAAAATCTATGACTTTAGGCTATCAAGTTAAACTAAGATTTATGATTGACCAAAAAGATAGCTTGGATAATATGCTCTTTATAAAGGACCAGTTAAATCTGTTTTTAACTAACAGAAAGCTTAAAAAAGGTACTATTGGTACTATGCATAGAATAGAAAGCAATTCATTTGTTAAGGTCCCACTTATAATTGAATATATCTATAGATTTAGATTAAAAACTAAAAAACAAGAGTCATTTGACAAATGAGTAACAGTTTATGAGTTAGTAAAAAACAAGGCTCACCTTACAGAAAAAGGACTTAATGAAATAAGAAAACTAAGTAAAGAGGTCAATATAATCACTAGTATTACAAAAAAAATCGGTGATAAACTTAATTAAAAGATGAAGATATAGTCCACAAAAGGTTTTTACCTTGTGCACCATATGTATACTGTTGGACTAGACGTGGATAAACTTGTGTTCACGGAAAAAATCTTGCTATATGCTGGAAACTCTTCTATAAATAGTCCACTCATATTTATTATGCTCGGAATAATCTATTTATTTAAAAGACAATCAGCAGGAAACTTTGGTTTTAGTACAAAAGCTACGGCAGTTACTAAGAATACTTATACTAATTATAAAAATTTACCTTTAATATCTGAACATGTACCTATTCATAAAAGCAACCTAACAGACGACGAATTCGGCTGGTTTTTAGCTGGATTAATTGAAGGAGATGGTTGATTCGGACATAAGGAGTTACATATCATTTTTGCTGAAGAAGATATATCACTAGCTTATCTTATAAAAAAGCGAATTGGATACGGTAATGTATACAAGATTAAAAACAAAAAAGCGGTTAGATATATTTGTAAAAATAGCACTGGTCTATCTATTATCTTATCTTTAATAAATGGTAAATTGTTAAGTAATTTTAAGTATGATCAATTAATTAATCATAATTATAGTGAATTTTTTAACCTCACGTTATTACCACCTTTAAAAAGGCTAAGTCTAGATAATTATTGACTGGCTGGTTTTACTCAAGCGGATGGTTGTTTTCACATCAGTATTGCAAACAGTAAAACACATAAAACAGGGTTTAGTGTAAGATTGGAATACTCTTTAAAACAAAATGATAGCTTACCCTTAACTTTACTTTACAATGAGTTAAAGTTGGGTAATCTTTCTCAATATAGTACAGGTATTTGATGTTATAAAAGTACAGGATTTAAAACTGCATTTAATTTGATTAATTATTTTGATACATATAATCTTTTTGCTGGTAAATATAAAAGTTACCTTAAATTTAGAAAAGTATATATTATGATTACTGAAGGAAAACATTTAGAAGAAAAGGGTATAAAAAAGATTATAAGTATTGCAACCAAAGGGTCCTCAGAGACAAGCACGCAAGAAATTTAAAATATAATTTAAATTAAGATACTGTCCACATTAAAGCTTTTTGACAAGAGCTTACTTCACAGCTGCTACTTTAATTATTGCAGTTCCTACTGGTATTAAAATATTCTCTTGATTAGCAACTTGTTATGGTGGTTCTTTACACTTTATACCATCATTACTATTTGCATTAGGTTTTGTATTTATGTTTACTATAGGAGGGTTATCAAGCCACTTAGCTCTCTTTGCAAGTTATAAGATACTTTTTATACTTGTTATAAGCACTACTAAATGCTGGGAAGTACTGACAATAGGAATACTAAATATATCTCTAGCCCCGAGGGGCTTACCCTTTGGGAAGATCCCCGATGGGGCTCATCCCGCAGGGATAGTAAAAATTTCATATTTTGTACAATCAGCAGGTAACTTGGTGAATTATTCTGTTTGTATTATTAACAGAATAGTATACCCTTGCACCCCAGAGACTAAACGTAGTCCTCATAGACTAATGTATTATGCATTAGTATTGTGAGAAGATATAGTCCACACAATAAATTTCTTAATTTCATTTTTCTTTACAAATAAATATACTCCAAATCATTCCAATTTAGAACTTAATAGCTCTCCTCTAATAAAGTACGTTTCTACTGAAGCTGAGGATATGCGTAGTAGTAGTAAATATTTTTGACGTAGTACTTGTAGCCCTAGAGATATTACCCCTAGAGAACTATTACCGTGTGCGAATGATAGTGATAATATTTATAATGAGGAAGGAAAATTAAAACCTGTAAAGGTATATGATGATCTTAAATCAGATAGAGCTAGAATTTTTAAAGAATGTGCTAAGGTATCAGGTGTTTATTATTTAATAAATAACATTAATGGCCATACTTATGTAGGAAGTTCTATAAATTTAGCTGCTAGAATGAAAAACTATCTTAACAATAGTTATCTACAAAGTAAAACAAATTCTAATATGCCTATTACAAAGGCTTTACTTAAGTATGGCCATTCTAACTTTTCTTTTTGAATTTTAGAGTATGTTAACTCTGACCAGTTAGCTATAAGAGAAACTCTATATATTACACAAATTCTTCCTTATTATAATGTATTAAAAAAGGGTTATTCTTCTTTAGGGTACAAACACACGGAAGAAACTAAAACTCTTCTTTCTAATTTAGCTAAGAATCGGGTACATTCACCTGAAACTAAGGCATTAATAGTAAAAGCTCTAACAGGTCAGAACAATCCTTTTTTCGGTAAAAGTCATACCATGGAAAGTATTAGGCAAATCATTAAAAATAAATCATATAATCCTGTTTACATTTACGATTCCTATAAAAATTTAATAGCTATTTATCCTTCAGTAAGAACATTGTCTAAAAAGGTTGGTGCGAATAGTACCACAATCGTTAATTATATAAAAAGTAAAGCATTGTTTAGAGGAGAATGGTATTTTACTAATATTCCTTTTAACATTGATGATACCCCTATAATAAAAGATTGAACCCTTACAGAATGTGACTTATTGGCTAAAGAAATAAGAAGCAGAATTGGAATTACAAAAGGTGTTTTTGTTTATGATAAAAACAAAAATTTTATAGCTAGGTACAAGGGAGTAACAGAAGCTGGTAAAATACATAAAGTTAGTCATCTTACTGTAAGAAGATATGCTAGTGTGAACGGATTACATCCTTCAGGTTACTATTTTTGCTTTGAAAGATTAGAAGCAAACTATGAAAAATCCATAGTTGACACACAAGATAAAGACTAAAAAAAATGAAATTAAGAAATTTATTATTTGTAAGTGGAGTTGTTCTTGCGAACGCATCACTTGATATTGCCTTCCACGATACCGTTTGAATATTCGAGTTAAGTATGCTAATACCTAGTTTATTTGTTATGGTTAAGGCAGGATTTGAGGGTACGCCGTCAAATTATAGTCTTAGTTATAATAATAATTGCAGTTATAATGATTTATCTGATAACAATAACTATAAAGAATATATAAAAATGTTTTGAGTAGGGCTAATGGACGGAGACGGAAGTATTCAAGTAAACCATTGACGTAAACAATCCCTACAATACAGACTAGTTATTAAATTATCTAACCTTAAATCTAATTATAATATGTTGGTTGAGGTTGCTAAAGTAGTAGGTGGAACTGTTAAGATTACCGGTAAAAAGGCGGATGTTATTTGAGTTGTAAATAAAAAGGAAGAAATTATTGAAATAATAAAAATTTTTGATACTTATCCTCCTTTAACTTCAAAAAAAATCTGTCAACTTGCATTCTTAAAAACATGTTTAACTGAAACTTCGGTAGAAAAATACTTATCCACAAGAGATACTAAATTTAAAGAACAATTTACTATTATAAACGCTAATTTTAAGTTACCTACTTATTTTAAAGCTTGATTATCTGGTTTTATAGAAGCGGAAGGTTGTTTTTCTATTCGTAAAACGAAAGCACATTCTTTCTCAATAGGACAAAATGACGACGTTTATTTAATAGACGCTATAAAACAGTATTTTGAAGTATCAAATAAAGTTCGTAACCCTTACGGTAACTTCTATTTTATAGAGGTATACAAGAAAGAGGTATTAGCGAAAATAGTGGCACATTGTACTAACTATCCTTTGTTGGGAGAAAAGTTAGAGTCTTTAAAAAAATTTAGATCTTGCTGTTCCCTTTAGTAAGTGTCGTGTTGTCTTGTCACCATGAAAAATTACATACGTTTTTCGGTAAAATTATTACATTAATTTTGCTAACGGTGAAGTCTAGGCCTCTATTGGCCATTTAAAAATATTATTAATAAAACAGATTTTTACTTACTTTTATCTACATATCTACGAGGTATTTTTATTAATAATGATGGTCGTAATTATATATATGAATAAAATATTAACAACAAGAGAAAATAAGGGGTTATTTTACAATTCTGCATTAAAGACTAGATCGTATTCTGATGGTAAAAAAAGTAACTCTTTCCCTCCCGGGGACCCTTCCGAGACAGGGTCCCTAATCCCCCGTGAGGGAATAAAGGGAAGAGGATTAAATCCTCATTGAGTAACTGGATTAGTAGATGCTGAAGGTTCTTTTATTGTTTTTATAAAATTAAATCCAAATAACAGTAAGAATCTAGTACGGCAAATACAACTGTCTTTTGAAGTATCTTTTCATATTAAAGATATAGAATTACTCTATAAATTAAAATCCTTTTTTGGAGAAGCTGGTACGATTTTTATTCCATCAACTAGAAAAGATGCTAGATTAAAAATAACAGGATTGAACGAGATAGTTAATTTTATAATTCCTCATTTTAAACGTACCCTTTACATGGTATGAAAAAAATAGATTATGATCTATGATCTGAATGTGCAGAATTGTTACAAAGTAAGCAACATTTACAAGAGAAAGGGTTAAATAGAATATTATCAATAAAATCTGTACTTAATAATGGATTATCTGATAAATTAAAAGCTCTTTTCCCTTCTGTAATAGCTATAGATAGACCTGTTTTGGATGTTGCCAATATTCCATTAAATCCTAATTATGTCAGTGGGTTTACCGAGGGAGACGGTTGCTTTACTGTAAATATTTCTTCTAATACTAAGCAAATTACTGCTTATTATATTATTGAGCTACATAAAAGGGAAGTTCCTTTATTATCAAGCATACAAAAATTTTTTGGAGGGGTGGGTTCTACAAATATCGCATTAAGTAGAAATACCGCTCGATTTTCTATAAGTAAAAAATCAGACTTGATAAATAAGGTATTGCCTCATTTTGATGCACATAAATTGGAAGGTAATAAGCTTAAAAATTATCTAATCTTTAGAGAAATTGTTCTATTGCTTGGTTCTAAAGCGCATTTAACTCAAAAGGGGTTTGATAAAATAAAACTTCTTAAAGAGGGTTTAAATAATTAAAGTAGATAATTTATTAGGAGTAAAATATATAAAGACGATTATATGGCGTATATATACTTTACTTATTATTTTAAGGCGGATAATAAGAAAGAGCGTGCTAGATAATACCGTGGAAACCAAAGATAATTTATTTATTACTATATTTTGGGTTTTTCTTGGGTTTGTCCTTATGTGTTTTCTTAAGGCGGAAAATATAAGGGTCCCCTCATGTAAGGTAATACCGTGGAAACCAAAGTGAATAAATTTATTCTCGAGTAGGATCCGTAGAGACTAAACGTGACAGTCGAAAGTTTATTAAGTTAAATCATTAGATAAGTTATAGTCCGATCCACTGCGTGAGCAGTGTTGTATGTAAATAAATGAGCAACTTAATTGACCTACTACGTAGTTGCTCAACTGGGCCTTAATAATGTTTATTATTACGCATTTGACTATATGCTGGAAACTATGTTTTTAGAGCCTCTCTTACTATTTATGTTATATTATTATCTTTTAAAAATAGATGCGGATAGAAGAAATCTTCTAAACATAAGTAGTCAAAATGGGGATGTATCTGCTACATTTAACACATGTACAAACATACAATCAGCAGAAAACTGTAAAGAATTCTCAGAGACTATACGTCAAATATCTAATGACAATAACGGAGAAAATTCATCTTTTTTAATGGATTTGCCGGAATAGTTTTTGTCTCCAAAATTAGATAAAGATATAGTCCACAATATAAATATATTTATATTTGCATAGCCATGCCCTCACTCACCTTACATTGGTGGTAGTGGTTGGGCCGTTAGAAAATATTTTTAATCCTGTACATAATAAAGCTTACCCTAGATCAACTCTAAAAACGGCGGAGTCCGGGTTGATACGAAAAACTTATTTGAAATATAAACCTGTTTGTATTATTTCTTCTAAAGCTTATTATTCTACTTTACCTAAATCAGAGTTAGCTGTTTTCCCTACGGATACTTCCGTTACCTATGAAAACCCTTTAAAAAGTAGACACGATATTTGTTTTAACTATAAAAATTTTAGAGGGTGTTATCTATGGACTTCAAAAACTACAGGTAAACAATACATAGGTAGTTCTATAAATCTAAGTCTAAGACTTACTGAATATTTTAGAGAAAGTTATCTAACTCTGCAAAGTGGGAGAGGTAGTATAATTTGTAGAGCTATACTTAAATATGGTCAGGATGACTTTTATTTATCTATTCTTAGTTTAGGCTCTTTAGGAGATAAAGATAGTAAATATTCTTCAAATAATCTTCCAGATTTTGTTGTACTAGAACAAAATTATCTAGATAACTATAAAATGGAATATAATGTTAATAGGGTAGCTAGTACTAAATATGAATCTTTATATGTTTCTGTTAATAAAGGTGAGGCCAATCCTTCATATAATTTAAAAGGTGAAGAAGCTTTTGTATGAAACAGAAATCACTCTGTAGAATTAAAAGCTCATTGATCTAGGTCAAGAGGTAAAATTACTTATTATATTTATTCTAAAGATAGTTTTGAACTAGACATTATTTTCCTTAGTTCAAATAAACTGGCTGCTTTTTTAAAAGTTAACGCAGTAATTGTTAAACAAATGACAGAGCTGATAGAATCTTCAGAACATTCTGCTATAAGATGTGAAGATTATATTATATCACTAAAGCCTTTAAATTGTCAAAATTTAGCGGATAATTTGGACGTCTTGTTGAATTTTGAGATCAGTTCAAGTAAAACTCGTGACAGAAAACTAGCAGCAGAGGAATTGAAAAAAGGTAGAAAAAGTTTAACTATTTATGGATTTAATCCAGAAACCCATGAATATAAAATTTGACCTTCTAAGGGAGAATGTTTAGAAGAATTAACCGGGTATTATTATACAAATGTTAGAACTATTAACAGAAGAATAGATAAAGATTTAATGTATAAAGGTTATTATTTACAAACTAAGCCTTTTAAGGAAAATACTTAGGTAGTAATAGGTAATAAAGCTTTTTTGAATAATATAATTTGTTTACGAAACCTTTAGCCTACATTTCTCTGGCCCATAAAGAATCTTTATACAAAAAAGGATTGTAACTAAATATTTTCATTTCGTGTAGAGCGTGTTAAATGTATGTACGTTTAATATTGAAGCATTTCCACTACGTTTTAAGTATGGGTGCAGTATTTGCCTTATTTAGTGGATGATACTTCTGAATTCCTAAAATTTTAGGATTAGATTATAACTTACTTTACTCTAAAGCTCATTTCTGAGTTTTATTCACTGGGGTTAAAAACAACGAAGGGAATAAGGGATTAAATGGTTTAGATGAACATGGGGATATTACCCCTAACAATAATTCACCTAATAATTATTTATTGTATTTTAATGATATAAAACAAAGTAAAAGGGATATATATAGTAAACTAAGGCACAAATCTGGAGTTTACATGTTTATTAATAATTTAACTAATGATTTATATGTAGGTAGTAGTCTAAATTTAACTAAAACAATGACTAGTCATTTTTATTATGCAAGTACGGATAAAATGAAAACAATATTGGCTAGATCGATGAGAAAATATGGATTACATAATTTCTCTTTAGCTATATTAGAATTTTGTGAAAAAGATGTTATTACTTCTATAAAATTGGAACAAAAATGAATAGATTATTATAAACCTAAGTATAATATATTGAAAATAGCGGGAAGCTCCCAAGGTTTTACACATAAAATTGAAACAATAGTAAAACTAAAAGAACTTTTCAGAAAAGAAAATCACCCAAAATATGGATATATATCTTCTTCGGATACAAAAAAAGCGATTAGCGAAGGTATTAAACAATTTTATATCAATAACTCTCATACTAAAAAAGGTTTAAAAGGAAAATTATCAGCCCAATATGGTATAGGTGGTAAATTTGTTTATTGTTATGATAAAAAAAATAATGAATTAATTTTTCCTTCTATAAACGCGGCTAGACAACATTTTAAAACAAGATGAACAACTATCAAAGACAATATGGATAATAATCAATACTTAAATATTAAAGATGAATATTGAATGTTTCAATCTAAACCTCGTAACAACGGCCCTTATTAGTTAATTAGCCCTGTTCATCTTTCTATATGCTGAAAAGTTTCATAAGGCTTAACTACTGCACATAATTACAACTTTTATACGGGGTAAAAAAAACAAAAGAACATAGACATGTTTTTTTTTT